ATCTGAATATTCAGACATTTAAAAATCTCTAGCTCTAGAAATTGAATTTGATGCAAAAAATGTTTCTTCCCAGTCCTCGCAGAATGGCAGAATGACGCCTAAATCTCGCAAATAACCAAAAAAATCTCGAGATCGGAAACCGTTAGGAGAAATAGATTCTAGAGTTCCACTTAATTTTTTCTGAACGTTCGGAGAAATAGTCACTTCGAAAAAAATTGGCCTAGATCTAGATCTAGATCTACTGAATTGTAAATAAATTTTTAGTTTGCAGTACCTAAAGTATTTGTATTTGAGACGAAACCAGGTGCCTTAATTTTAATGCCAGTGCATGTATTTTAAACCTGAATCATTACTGATGAGACCTGTTTTCTAATGTTAATAGGGCCTAAGATAAGTACGGCTAGACTGGCAGGCTAGTCGTACTTTTTGGCTAGCCATACTTATATTATGCTGTAGTCTCCACCCAAGATCCCACTGCTTATGATATGATCCCGGTTCGTTTCTAAAGCTAAGATCCCACTGTTTTAAGAAAACAGAAATTTCACAACACAAAAGTCACCCATATGATCCCGTTTTGATTCACTCTGAAGGTCTATATTCGGCTAAAATCCCACATTTCAGATCATACAGAACAAAAACGCGGGTGGGCTCCGCCGATCAACCAAGAGAGAAAAGTTGAGATCACGGAACTGCCCGCCGTGTCAAAGATCAACCACTCTCGTGGATGTGATCACATAAATGTTTTAAAATTTGGTGAAACGCCACAATGTTTATCTCAAACGTGAACTGGTCGACGCGTTTGTCTTCCCCAAACATTACACTGGGGTCTGAGCTCTCCATCTATACTTACACCACTCGCTGGATGGGTAGGGCCTACAAGTTGGCTCCAGGTGGGATCAAATCTTTGGCAGAATCACATTGAACTATAAACTCTTCCCCGACCATTGCAGCAGTTGCCTCAACTCCAGACTTTGCAAGACAGACTGAATTTTAATTGATGTGGTCACAGCGTAATTGGTGCGTAACGACAAAGGCAGGTGAACTCAGTCAGAGATGGAAAGCTTTGGACAGGTAAAGAGGATGGGCAACTGGATGTGTAGATCTTGAGACTCACGATTGGATAATAAGTGTTAATGGCATACCTCTTGCCACTGTGATTGGTCATCAAGGTTGACCACTCTTTTCTTGTCATAAACCCACCTAGGGGTCACGTCAGTTCATTTTAAGAGTGGGGGGAGACCGTTGTACCAGTTGTGGGTCTTAACATGGGTCACCGTAGATTCCTCCCTAGGTGCATCAGCTAATATCCCGTTCGCCGAAATTCCTGCATTTTCCTTGCTCCAGAGCACCGGGGTGTTAGGCGGAGACTACTGTAGAATTTTCAATCTACAAATTTCTCTTTTGACTCTCGGTCTCATCCTCCCATTTGCTATCACAAAAATTGCCCTGTCCTGCTGCAGGACAATGAGACAGTTCACTGGTCCACAACTGCTTTTGACATTTGAATCACAGCTTTGTTTCTTTGTTGGAAATATATTGAAAACAAGATGGTATGGAAATTTTTTTTTCACCTAAAACAAATTCTACTTCTGAATCCTCACCTCAAGGCTGATGTTATAACGAACAACACCTTGGGGGTTGTGGGGGTGGGAAACAGGTAGTATCACCTTAAGAGGCTGCTATAGTTAGAACTTTGTACAAAAATTGATTATAATATAATCTTTAGCTTTGTCTTTTGGATGACATTTAGATAGTTAGCACACCTGTAACATTTATGTCTAATTATTGATTGTTATCTAATTCTAGAAACATTCATTAAAACATAGGGGGGGGGGGTCGAAATTAAAATGAGATTGATACCCTAGGATGGCTCACAGATAATGTGTTCTTGTTATTGTTCTATAAATGTTGGATCTTTTACTATCTTTTCACATTTAGTAACCCCGGGGAAGTCCAGATTTTTGTTATTCTTACATATTGGGGAGTTTTGGTTCGCTTCAGGTGGAACTGGCCTGTTGTGTATGTCTGTAAATTCTTAATTAAGGATAGCATTTATGGTAGTGGCTGTGTTCGGGAGGATCTCTTCCACTCAAGTTCTCACTCTCTGTTTTTATTTAGAGCTGTAACCAGGAAGATCTTGGAGAAATCTGGTTGTCACCACAAGCCCAAGGTGGCAGAGCATCAAGATGGACACCACTATTCCATATCATGCTGGTCTCATGCTTGGACGATCTGTAGACATGAGGTCTCTGCAGTTGGGATTTTTCAATTCCAGTCAAGAGTTCACTCCTGTTGCTCCTGAGGTGAAAATTTACGTTTCCAAGTGCAGATTATTTTGATTAAATTTGGAATCTTTTCAGGAAAAATTTTCGGATTGGTAACGGTTTGACTGTCTGTTTGCAAAAAAACTTGATGAGCTAATGCTGCATTGAAACAGTTGTTTTTTGTACACCATATTGTTAAAAGTATGGGAAAAGGTGGGTAATGTTCAGTTGTCTTTTTAATCATGATAGACTTTGGATCTCTGTAATATATATATATGTATATGTATAATTTTATAGACTTTCAAAAGAAACTGCAGCACTTTTGCCTGTATTCTTAACATAGGCCTTTTTTTCCCCTGGATATTCCCATGCATTACTTCCCATCCTTATAACAGTTTAAATAGTTAGTAGTCGCTTAGTTATAATCTGTCTCTGCAGTAAACACAGGCAGTTTTTTTCATAAGAATGCCTTTAGTTTTGTTTGTTTAGGATTGTAGAAATGTGATGGTGTACTTCTTGATTTATTTTGTTTTTTAGACACATTAGATTATGTTAAAAACACACCGTCGGGCACGGCTAACTCAAACGCGTCGGGGATCGACAAATGTGTTGGACACATCTATAAGTCGGCTAAACCAATAAAATGAAAAATTAGAGAGAAATTGAAAACCAAAAAAAGGGAAGTTACTGTTATGGAGCAATGGTCGGGAAATAAATCACTGTGACGGATTTACTGGAGCAGATTCGCTGCACACAGCCTATTTGTATGATAGTGTGTCCCTTTTATGAACATGTTCAACCATCCTGTGTTGCATGTGAAGTCAAGGCCAAGTTTGTTTGCTATTTTGTCTGCTTTTATTATCAGAACAGGACCATAGATAGGGAGAGATATCCGGCATGTGCTTGCTGGAACCATTGTTGAAACAATACCAGCTTGATGTTCTTAAATTTGGCGAAGTGGTCTTGCTTTCTGTCAGGTGGCCGTCCCATGTTGGCATTTTCAATTTTATCTCGACTTTTTAAAAAAGAAATATGGGAAGCATTGATTTGGGGATTCCACATCTCTTACAAATTTCCATCTTAGTGCAGAACTCTAGAAACATCCGCTAAAATCTGACTCTTAATTTCTTTTATCAAATAATTAAGTTTTCTCTTCTCTGCCATCATGATAAGTATCCTGTATTGATATAAAGATAGAAGGATAGGTAATGTGTGTGCCTTGTGCAGTGTCGAAGCTAGAGAAGGAAGAGAGTGTTGTGGATGAGCATTGACCAAAATAGAATTGCTCGTGTTATGTCCGGTTAGAGCACACCGCTCACGCCCTCTTTTGTCATCAGTGTAAATAGCTTTCCTGATCCATAAAATCAAGTTCAAACAACTTCAAACACACACACACACATACATACTCTTCTACACAAACCCGATTCACACACCATACGGTTCAAAACAGTGCCTCACTGTCTGTCTTTGATCATTTGATAACACCCCACCACTCACCGCCCACCCTTTCACAACTAGATTCAAGGGAGTTTCAGTGCCGTACGCACTGTAAAGCTAATGTGTTCTGTGATGTGTCTCGATACGGTCAGCATTTGCATCATGCTGTGCATGGTTGTGCCTGGTGGGTTCATATACAGGGTGATAAAAAAAAAACAACTGTACACCTTTTATTGCTAATATTTTCCTCCACACTCAAGTTTTGCGTTTCAAATTTGTACACACCATTTGGAAGTCAAAAGGAATTTGTCTGATATTCATTTTAGATAAATCCACAGAATAATTTTGCTCTACATCGCGTGTAAAAAAACAACCCATTTTCAGCTATGTCCCCATTTTTGTTGCATGACGCACTAGTTCGCATTAGGCCTACCACTAAAAATCCCAACGATTGCGCCATATTGCAAACTACAGTAATCTAACAAGCCAACAGAAGTTTGCAGATAGCTTTTCTCAAGTTTTCTTTTCCTGCTGAGATCATGGTTAAGATTAGTAAAGAGCAGAGAGCTTTTTGTATTGAACATGTCCTCACTACCAACTCATTTCTTAAGCTTCGCACAAGGTGCGGAAATAATGTTAAAGTGCCCTTAAGGCCTCCTTTGATGTCAAGGGTGGAAATGGTCCATCAATTAGGTCCAGTAGAGAATCAGAACCAAAAATTCCCAGACAAAACGACCACTTCAGGTCAACACACACCATTTACACCCCTTTAAACATCACCACGGTGCAGAATTCAGTAGATGAGCCCAATGAGATATCTGTCCATAGACGATATCTGCAGCAATGGCTTTTCTACATATCTACGGTCTGCATTTTCAAGGCAGATCTTCATCTACGACTGTACCATTTTCCCGTTCGCGAAACTATCAAAGGATAGCAATGTGTTCATGATTTCTCGATCGTCTTGAAAAGCATGAACATTTCCTCTATGATATTTGGTTCCTTAGCAAAGCCCATTTTCACCTTTCAGGTTATATCAACTCCTCAAATGCTGTCTATTTGGGCAACCTCACCCCCCCCCCCCATTGTCTCTAGAAACAGCTCCATACTGTAAGGTGCACAGTGTGTGTGGTTTTGAGTACTCATGGTTGAGTGGATCCTTGTGTTTGGCCACCACTGAACATTATGAATGACGCGTTAAAATGTGTCGAGTCCAAAGGAGGACATATAGACAATTGGTTCTCCGAATTTCAGAATTTAAAAAATATTCTTTCACTCTGTAAGAGAAAAATATTGTTTAAAGGTTACAGGGATGGACAGATTAGGTTTTAAAAATAAAAGGAAAGGAAAAAACAAACCAATCATTTCATGACTTTCCTTACAAGATCTATTGAATTGGTGCATTTTGCATTTATAGGTGGTTTTTATAGAAGCCATTTTCATTTTCTAAAATAAGTTTCTTCTTTGTGAATTTTATGTCAAACAAATTCATTTTGAATGAATTATATCTGTTCCAAATTATAACATTCTAGAACAAATTTTGTGCGAGATATTTAGAAAAAAAGTTGTACAGTTTTTTTTGGACCACCCTGTACTTTCGATTACGATGAGTGTGTTGTTTTCCATCGTGTGAGTAGGGCAATTTGAATCTGAGACACTTTGAGTAAAATTTTTTCCAATGTTCCAAGACAAGCTATTTGACAAATCTATGGTTGTTTGAGAAAACAGTGTTGCCAATACAGGGAAAGTATAACCATTGTGTCGGAGAATGGCATATTGTACGAGCTATCAGGGATTTCGGGTTTTGAGTGTTTGTTTTATATGTGTCCAACTGCATGAATATTTTTCAAATTCAGAATATTCTCTGGTGTAATGGTTTTCATCTTGCTACGAAAAGGCGTCGGTACGATTTGCGTGTGAAGAGTTTTTTTTTTAGATATCTGCATCTTTTCACCTGGATGCTGTATCTGACTTTCCTACATATGGCCCTTACAAGAGCTAGCAGCTCATCTCCTGAATGATCTAAATTGAGTTGATGTCAGCCTGAAATATTTACATTTATTTTTTGATACTTCACTTTTTAAGATTTCCTCTTTTTTTATGTTTTGTAGGTGAACTTCACAAACAACAAGTTTTGTTTTGCTAACTCTCTGAAAGATGTTTGTGACGTCCTCGAGGTCGCTCCAGAATATGCTCTCAAGGTCAAGGCTGGTATTATTGAAAATGAGACTGTGTCTGCCTGTATGAAGAGCCTTGGGAAAAGGGATACTGTTTGCCTAATTTTTAGGCAGACTTTCTTGCACGTAAGAGATTTTTATGACTTAAGGTAAATTTGTAAATTTGGGTCATTATGGCTTTATGTCTATTACTGAAAAGATCAAACATTGTCCACAGGTGGGTGGAGGGTGCCACTGATAGGTCCTACTTCTTTACTTTACTTCTGTTGATTCTGTTTTTCTGTCTACCTTTTCCCAGCACTAAATGACCATTATTGTGTCGATGTGCTTTTCTTTACACAAACAAACAAATTATATTGTCCAGCTTTTGCCCTTACTTTTTTATGGTTAGTCCTTGGGAAAACTCTTGTGTATAAGTTATGACTCTACTTGAATGCGAAAGAGTAAATTTTTGAACCTTAGTTATAGTAGGCTACTGAACTTGGTTTTGTGTGGTTAGTTAATTAGGCTCAGGGTTATCTTTCCCTTTTCTTACGTTTTAATTTTTTTTTGGCCTTTAAAGCTTGTGATGGTCGGAAGTCACTGCTGAATGGGTGCCAAATCTCTATGTCAGTGTTTTTCTTGAACTAGTCTGGCTGCTGGCAAATATACTCTTCCCCGGCATGTGAAGCCCATAGTCTAGACCTCCCCTTGTCATATATTCTAATATTCTTGTGTATCTGCAAAGGAATGGTAAAGCAGCCTTGTATAGTGCCTTCATCAACAGTAAAGTATACAGCTACTGAGCCCGGGAAGAGTCATAAGCTCACTTTGCAGAGAATAGTCAATTAAATGCCAAAAAAGTGGAGGGTAATTCATTGTAGCATTGTGTTAAACTTATGACATTATATATAAGAGATCTTTTATTTTTGAAAGCAAACTCTGTTTCCATCACATGTTGAAATATTTTGAAAAATTGCTGCTGGAACTGCTGTAATGACCACCTGTCCAAGACAGTCACCTGTACAAATAACCCCCTCCCACTCCCCCCTTGTGTTTTTTTCTATATTTTAACGACACTGTCCTAGATGTCCACCTGTGTAAGACAACCACTTTTTCCCGGACAATGGATGGCCATCTTGGACAATTTCAACTGTTTCTCTTTATTTTGAAACCCTGCTGGGAAGGACAAAAAATCAACTTGGAACATTATATTGGGGAATTAATATTATATCCTATTATTGTATTATATGTTATATTATGTAGATCTGTTGTCTTCTCTCCCTTAGAAAAAGGAGTATGTGCCACAGGAGTTTGTGCCGCATCTAAAGAAGTCAGAGCCTGACAGCCCCATGAAAGGAACACCCGGTGTAATGTCCTCACAAAGTCCTGAGAGTCTTATTGCTGATGCTGTAATGACAGAGAAGTCGGAGATGGATCAAACCAGTCTGAAAACTTCTGGTGATGGTGATGAAGCGGACAAGGAGGAGGCCAACACTTTGGTCACACTGGATGCAGCAATGGCAGACTGTAGTTTAGAACACATTCAACCAGTGGTGCCAGAGAGCTTAGAGGAAGGTCAGACTGACAGCTCTGCGGTGCACAACAGTGTTGATAGCTCTAGTGTCCACTCCTCTGTTGCTGGTGCTACGGCGTTGAGAGGCAATGATAAAGACACTCACTTTGTGATGGCTCGAGAGATTGGGAATGAGCAGATCATCATTTTGAGGATTGCGTCACAAAGTAATGCATACCTATGTTCATTATAAATACAGACCTGCCACTCTATGAAATCTAAAACTCAGGATTTTCGAGTTCAAAAATCAGGATCTTGTGTAAAAAATCGGGATCAGCGGCAAATCAGTCATAAGGGGGCACTGGGGAGGGGGGTGTCGTGGTTCCCTTTTATGAGGCAAGTATGCAAGACAAAACTTTTGCAGGAATTACTTCACGTTTGGGCCTCTAAATAGAGGGAAAACTGAAAGACAGCATATATGTACTCGAGTCAGAGTTGGATAGACTAGGGGAGCGCAGGTTGCAGTAAAGCTGAAACTCTCGTAGTCTTGAAAATAACTGACACATTACTCTAATCATCCATGCCAAAAGCCCGCGTTTTCATACAGTAACAATGTTTGACTTCCATCACATATACACTCTAGGCACCCCCCCCCCCTCCGTAAAAAAGATCGCGCAAAGGTTGTTCTTTTTTTTCTCGTATTCCTTTCCCCTCAATTAGTACCTGTATCACGGCACGCACTTTAAGCCCAAGTGTAAAAAAAAAGAACACCCCCCTCCCTCTGGTCGTCCACACTGGTTAAGTCCCAAAAAACGACCTCCACAGCCGACGGTCCCCGACACACGCGCTACTCACATATAGGATGTCATGTCACATGATGCGAATGAGCATTTGAAAGTTTCACTGACAGGTCTTGATGATAGGCCCGGCTAACCAGAACTCGGACGAAGCTTGCTTTTAAAGCAACGGCAGAACAACGAATAGATTATTCTTAGGCCCATGTCATAATTGTTACAGTAATCAGGACACCATCGGAGAATTCTGGGTTATAAAAGCGAAAGTAGATCTTAAGCGTATCCATGTTGGAATTCAAAATCGATACTACTTCGATTTTAGTTGAAATAATGTGCGTAAGTCAACTACTAGATTCGGCATAGATGCTTTAGAAAGTAGCGTTCCAAATTCCTGCCTATAACAAGTCCAATCTGTGCTTCCAAGCAAAAGAGATTGCAGAACTTTTTCTACTTTTATCTAAGAATCGGATGCAACAGACGCAACAAAAAAATCAGGATACTGGCGATCAAAATCGGGGTGCTTTAGATTTGGGGCAAAAAATTGGGATATCCCGATTAAATCGGGATGAGTGGCAGGTCTGTAAATAATTTTTTGCTTGTGTTGAATTTTTTTCCTTTTGGTAGGGATGATATGTTGACTGACATTAAAAAAAAGGCTTAAGATTGCATGTTCAAGTAATACTGGAGCAAATACATGCATGTGTGAGTGTTTGTTTGCTCTATTGTCAAGAAAGTGTATACATTTATTTTATTGTCCTCTCTTCTCTTTTTTGTCTTTATTTCCTCAGATATGGAGAACCTGTTGAAAGTATATGAAAAGTTGGCACATAGCTTGGGTTCGTCTCATGGTCAACTAGACAGCACAAGGATTGAACGACTATTGAAGGTTGCCCCAAAAGTGGATGAGAAACTCTCTAAAAGGCATTACCAAGACATGAAAGTGGATATCGAGTACTGTGTTTTGGATGAGCTAGAAGTTTACCCGCTTTCTGTATCTGGAATGATGAAAACCATTGACACATTCAGTGACAAATGTGTTGGCTGGACAGAGAAATGCAAAGAGAATGTCCGAGTGACTGTGGATCAGCGCTTCATGTCTGTACACTTGGGAGACTTCAAAGAAGAAAAGTCGAGATTTCAGGCTTTCAAAGAGACATTTTCAGGTTTGTCTCCTGGTTATCTTTGAGAGTAGTGATAAACACTTATACATAGCTTGTTTGTTGATCCTTTACTTGTTCCCAAAATGAAATGCTTTTGAAAAATATTGAATAATCATAATTCGAAGCTGCTAATAAGTATTAAGATTGTTGAGACAGTTTATTTGGTATAAACAATAAATCAGCATTCTGTAGTCAATGGTGTAAGGTTTACATTAAAAATCTTTCTTGGTAAAAGAAAAGATTTGAGAAAATCTCTTTCAAAGTTGTCTTACTTTCGAATAGACAAGCTGACAACCTTTCAAACGACAATTTGTTCTTAAAAATGGGAATATTTTGTATTGATATTTTTATGTTTTAGTGCTCTCGAATAGCTCTATGTCAACAGTTGGTCTTGAAAAAGTAGCCGTGATCTCAGTTGTCTCTGAGATTAAGCCTTTGAAACAAAATATTTTGATTCTCTTCCTCCTATTATTTCCACTACAAAATTGATTGTCTTATTTCATACTCTTACAGAAGTATATCAAATTGTCTTCTCCAGGTGTGTGTCTTTTGATACTCTTCTCAAAGCGTATACAACTTGGGCAAAATAATTCGTTGAACGGTCTTCTATCTGTAGCTGTTCCATTCTGTATCACTTAGTTACTAGCTGACCTGACCTCTGAGATGGAGGTCAAAGCCCGGTCATGGTAACTGAAGAGGCTGGGCCCAGCAGACAGAGGCTCACACACTATGTTGTGTCATGTACACACAAAACGTCATCAGTTTCTCTTACAGATATGATATTTAGGGAAACAACAATCTAATGTTCATTGGATAGGAAGGTGTATTTTTTGACAGTATTATTTTTATCATTGAGAAGTAAGGGATGGCCTGTTGAAAAACAGTAAAAGTTTGGCTTCAAGTTTTTGAAGTCACGTTCAACTTTAATTAAAATAAGATAAGAAGAACAAATGATTTTTCGTTATTACACCAGATGAGAGTGAATCTATTTGTAAAATGGAATACAAAGATTAAAAGTTACAATTCAATTCAATATATCTCGCTATATAAAAAAGACTCTCTTTTTAAATCCGAAGAATTTAATAGCCCATAGATACAAAGGGCTTAGGCATCTTAAGAGCCCTTAAAAAAAGACGATAGTGTCAAACAGCATTTTAAAGAAGAATTACTGAGCTTCTATTTAGTCTGCAATCCTCCCAGGTTTATAGGATGGATAAAGGAGGTGCTTTGTTGTATACTCTTGTTAATTTCTTCAATGTTTACACTATTCATGCGGAGTAGTCATTTCTGGGATGGGCCAGTGGAACTGGCTTAACGTGCAGGAATTTCATTCCCGCCTGCAGAGTCAGAGGGGTCAGAAGGATTACCACAGTGCTATGTACGCCTATCAGAGTGTAAAACTGAACAGCCACGCTCCATGATTTAATTGCAAAATGCCAATTGTGAAGAAAACAGGATATAATGTCTGTCCCACTTATTCACAGGTGTCTTTGATGATGGTGAGTTGTGTGTCTACTGACACATGTAGTAACTTATTCATTTCTCAGTGTCTACTGACACATGTAGTAACTTATTCATTTCTCAGTTTGACTTGACACACCCTGCGGCACTGTTTATGTTGAATGTCATGGGATTGTTTATCTGCACTATTGAAATTTATTGAGTGCTTCTGAGAATGTCCCCCTTTAGATGTTTTTTGTGCTATCTGATGCTATACTTAGATGTCACCATTACCTTTCCACAGTATACTTAAAAATGTACAAGAAAATAGTCTAAAAGCAAAAGGGAAGTAGCATTTAAGCCAAAGTTGTCTGGGACTATTCTGAAAGTTTTAAAAAAACCT